TGTTACTGAAGACCAAGGTAATAGCTTTTATTTACCTAGTCCTACCTTTTTTTTCCATTAGTACTCATTATTTACTAAATATAGGGTGGTAATACATTAAAGAAATATTTACCAAAGCTTGAAAAAACTAACTATAAGAATTTTTTTTATTATAAGATGCATACAAAAATTTAAAAAACAAAACGTTCTTCTTTGATCACTGCTTTTGAATACTTAAAAGTTTTAAATTTTCTTAAAAAAAATAATTGTAAAAACAGTTCTTTTGCGTTATAAGGCTCTAAAAAACTGCACAAAACATCGCCAAATTTTAAGTCCTATTTCAAATAGAAAAATTTAACCAAGGAATACATAAATGTTTAGCAGCAAACAATTATTTTAGCTAAGTTAATTATTATTAAATTCACTTAATTAGTTACGTTTTAGATATTTTTATAATAAATGAATAACTATTTAAATAAATGACGATAGATCACAGCAATAAAATGTTTTTGTATCAAAACATATTTTACATGATAAAAAATTTTTAAAAAAAGAAAAGAGCGATCAAAAACGACAAAGATATGATAGCACGATGATCCCGCAAAACTCTATTAGAAGATAGATAATAATGCAGAACTTTTAAAAACAATAACTTACTATTTAATAAGAAAAAAAATCATAACAATTTCACAAAGAAAAAATTTCATTCAACTCTTTTTTATACCCTAGTCGAATCCTCACGCTTATTACAAAGCATTTAAAAATTCTTTGAAAATCACTTCAATTGGAAAAAAACTTAACACCTTAAGTCACATTCTATACGTAATACAGTCATACAAACACCTTAATAACACATTAATCCTAATAAAACATGATTATCATAATAAATTGACTTAAAAAAAGATCAATGTACAATTTCAGAAATGGAGATTTTACAATACACAAGCAAGATTAAAAAAAAAGATTCTATATTCCTTTAAAGTAACGGTGCACAATCTGAGGACATCAACAAAAAGAAAAAAGTCCAGAGCTATTTATTAATTCACCGATATAGAATAATAAATTAAAATATCTGTTACATAAATTTTAGAAAAAAACATTGAATCTATAAAATTGAAATCACAAACTATCAGAATTTGTAATGTCAACTTTAAGAAAATTTTCAACACCAAATGTGTTAAAATATACATAAGATCTTTATATTGCTTGCCTTGAAATTATAGACTTTATATTATAAAGAATTACATTATCAATTATCATACCATAAGAGGTATTTACTAAACATTGTCTGGAACATGTATATCTGGTACAGATCGAAATTTAAATGTTTTAAAATAGTTTTTAGATGCAAATTACTTTAAAGCACTAAAACATGCATTTAGCTTAGGTATTTCTTCTTTACAAGAAAGAAAAGCTGAAATTATGAAGAACATTAGAATTATTAACAAAAAAAAATGTATCTAAGTTACCGAGTAAAATTGGGTGCATCTTGGAGCTTTTACTGCACATAAAATCTTCAAATTTCCTATTATTTCGAAAACGAACTTTCCAAAAAAGCATAAAAAAATCCTGAAAATAAGAGTGGCACCAAATTTTAAATTTTTACCTGTAAGAGATAGTAACCTTTTAACAAATAATTTTTTCTCTTACGGCCTGCGAACTGTTAATATTTCTGTTCATTATCAAAAATGTCATCAGTCTGATTTTTAATGTTTACACCTGCAAAGTTACTGCAGGTGTTGAAGAATTGCGATTTATAGACCTTTAATTGTACTACCATAGAGAATAAAAAATATTGCCATACTTCAACGAAGAAATAATATTAAAAAATCTTGTGCATTTTTTATTTTATTTGCTAGTATACATTTAATAAATATTACAAACGCTTAATTTTGTAATATTTGAAATAAATTGATATTACCGTTATTAGGGAATCAATAAACAGGTAATTATTAAAATAATGAGTATTATATAGCAGTTTTGCTCAGTTGCTAATGCTTAGCTAAGTAACCTTCCTATAAAAAAAATTTGTGCACCCTTATTTTTTTTAGAACAGGGATTCTTAACCAATATTTAACCAGCAACAAAATATCAACGTTAAAAAATAATGAATTTAAATAATCATTATGATACATAATTGCAAAGTTTTGAAAATTATAGAAATAACCTGTTAATTTTTATAAAATACCTAATCTTTTTCTAAGAGGCATACAAAGTATTCAAATTGGAAATAAGTGAAAAATTACAAAAATGTATCAAATAGTAAAAATGATGTACAATTTGGTTTCCATCGAGTGATATGAATATTCTGTTCTGTATTGCCTAACTGTGAGAAACATAACTCTACCTTCAACATTGGTCTAGGGCAGTGTTTCCCAAACTTATGACTTTTGTGTACCCTTTCTATATTTTTCGTAACGCTGTGTACCACTAATAAAAAAATTTATTTTTTGCTATAAAAAAAAATTGCACAAAAGTTAAAAATCACAACTGGCTGTTGACACCACTAATTATAAACTATCAACTCTGCAAAAAATAGCCAATAGAAAAATACGTAATCGTAAATTTTCATGGCCAGCTTTGTTTTTAAATAAAAAAAAATTTAAAATTTTTGTTTGTTGCAAGATATTTCGCATAAGAACGCGTACCCCCGCTAAACTGTACCTGTACCCCTGGGGATACACGTACCACACTTTGGGAAACACTGGTCATGGGAAAAGTATTATTTCAGAAACTATAGACTAATATTTTAAAATATTTTTCTATTCATGTCATATAAAAATGCCTCATTGTTTTTTTAAAAATTAGAAAAATCATTACACCTCAAAAACAAACAATTTTGAAAAGAATAAAAAATATCTTAATCATGTGTGTTATAACAAATTAATTCAATATAAATACAATAAAGAAAACAAATTACTTATTTTATTAAATAAACAGAACATCAGCGAATTATTCCTAAGAAATATCACGTACATTAAAAAATATTTTAAAAGATTCACGGAACAAGACATCATACATTAGTCAAATCACCCAAACTATTACATGTTTAATTTGAAGAGTAAAACATACATGTATGTTGTAATATAAGGACACATAATATGACCGATATATAAGCTCTAATAAAAATTTTCAGCATAAAAATAAGCAAATTCAATACAAATAAAAAAATTAAAATAATTTTCGTTTTTGAAAATTCATTGGTTATTTAAACAACTCAAAATAATCTTTGATCTCATCTATCGCGAAACACATCAAATTTGCTCAAATTTTCTTGTTATACTAACTAGGAAAATTTCTGTATCAGTACCCGCATTAAAATAATGGCCAAGTTTTGCTGACTTCGGGGCAGTGGTTTGCAAGAAACTAAAAAAAAACATCACAGAAGGAGGCCAACTCTAATGGTAAAACTCACCGCCAACTCGGGCCAGAAAATTTTAGTTAATTTTATTTTTTCAGGGGGAATATGCATAAGCTTATTGCCTTTATATCCAGCTGTTAGGCCTTACAAAGACGCAAATGGAGGGTTTGTGAAAAATGTAAAATATTTTTATGTTTTTGCTCACAAAGGAATTGTTAGTTAGGTACAGGGTTGGCAAGTTTTTGACACATGACGGTTTTTACCGGTTTATACCGTCATGTCAAAAACCCTTCTGTCAAAAACCCATAGTTTTGGTGAAACTGTATTTTTATTTGAGTTTAACTGCTTAAAATTAATTCATTTTTGGGCAATAAAATTAGAAAAAAAGTTGTTAAAAGATATTTAAGAACAGATTCTTGCATTTTCCCAGCATGGTTATATCAGAACATACTATTTGAAGTAAAATATTAGGATACTAAACAAAATTTTCAACATTTCCAAGCATCATTTTGTTTGGCATATTACATTACTGAAGAATGTCAAGTCATTCTTGACTTAGAGTTTGTTAGTTTTGAAAGTTTTGTTTAGCTTATTTCTAACATTTAAGAAATGCCAAATTTTAAATTCTTCTTTTCAGTTCTTGAATTTATTAATAGTTCCAAGCTTTTTTGTTTGTCTGTTTATTTCTAACAATTAAGATGTGCAAAATTTTGAATCCTTTGCAAATCAAGCTATAATGATAAAAGTAAGTATCACTATTTTCAATAAGTATATTACAATATTTCTATATGAATGTACATCCTTCAATAAGAATACATGTATATAGTTGCAAAATCTATAGCAATCATTTACAACACTCATTTATGAAGGCAATTATGTGAAAATAATATATTGTCCGCTATATGCCACAAATGAAAGAAATCAGTAGGTTTTTGACAGTTTTTACCGGTAAAAACACGGTTTTTACCACTGTCATGTCAAAAACCAGTTTTTGACGGCAAAAACCCAACCCTGGTTAGGTAGTTTTCAGAATATCAGAATATTTCACATTTAAGATACTTACAGGGTATGTTACATTTTAGATTTTCAAAATGTAACATACCCTTTTTCAAATCCATGACTTTTCATGACTTACTATTGAAATTTACATGAAGTTACTATTTTCTCCAACAACAACACAACAATAAATTTGAAAAAGCATTATAATATTAATTGAAATGATAGAGAGGTATAACCAAAACTGTTATACTCTGCATCTTCATAGTTATTGATTTTAAACTTAAAAAACAGAGTGAAGAAAGAGTTGAAGCAATAAAATAGCTTAAAAAAATACAAAAGCAAATAACTAAATACAGTCTATATGTTGTTATTTACAGCTGTTTTATTTCTTCTTAAAAGTGTAACATAAAAAGCCTAAACTAGCATTTTAGATTGATAAAATAAAAAATAATAAATAGATAAAAAAAATTCTGAAATCGTGGAAGTTATACAAGTTAGTAAGATAATTCGCTCTCGAAATGTTCTTTCTTTCATTTTTTGAAAGAACACCACAATTTTTAAAGAACAGGATAAAAACATTTTATATTTTAATAAAATATGACTATGAGTGCAGATTTTGCTACAAATTCAGAACATTGTGAAATTGGGTGATCAGGAAATCCATGACTTTACAGGTGACCAGATACCTTGTAGTTAAGTAATTTGCAGAATATCATAAAATTTTACATTTAAGATACTTATATATAATCTAACAAGCCATAGATTTTTTAAGGACTGAAAGTGTTAAACTCCCCATTTTTCGCTTTGGCGATGGTAGTCGGCTTGAGCACGATCAGGTATCGATACAGAAATATTCCTTCACACTTTAAATATTTATGCTTCAATAAAATTTCTCATGAAAATTTAATGAGATAGAGGCTAAGAATCCCCAATCTATAGATATATTTACTTCACAATATTGAGTCCGTGAGAAAATAAAATAACTTTTCAGAATGCAGCTTATAATGATAACAAGCACGAAAAGGCTATAAAAAAATTTAACTAATTCATTCTACGTCAGAAAAAGATATTACATTCCTAATTATTACATAAAATAAATAACAATAAAATATCTTAATACACTAAACATAAAAAAAAAGCTATGTTCATCATATCAGTCACTTAGTATCCGTCTTGCTTACAAATATACAAAAATTTTGATTATTACTTATAAGCACTAAACATACATTCCATAAAATTGAAATTATCTGGACTATTTCAAGTTTCTTGATAACTAGGGAAGCTTCTGATTCAGTCGCAAAAGCATTTATAATGCTTCCTGGACACACAAAAATAAATATTAATGCACTTTGTATGATAATTTCAGAGAGAAAACTTCACAAAGAAAAGTATACACAATAAATCAGATGTATAAAAAACTTTGTATCAAAACTTTCTCCCTCTACAACTACAAATAAAGCATTGCATTCTTTTTTTTTTTAATATTGATAAATGCATCACTTCCGTACAAAATTCCTACAAAAATTAATTAATAGCTTTTTTCATCCTTGCATAGATATCATCTTTTCACGGAGGATTTTCAATGCCGTGCATTTTATAATGCTTCCTGAAATATTTCTTATCTCTGAATTTTTTGTGGCAGACATCACATTCGTAGGGTTTTTCATCGACGTGGCTCTGGCGATGGGATTTGAGACCATTACTGCTAGCAAATCCCTTGTAGCATATATTACACATAAAAGGTTTCTCTCCGGTGTGGCTTAAGTAATGGAGCCTTAAGTGTTGTTTCAAGACAAAACCTTTATGGCAAACACTACAAGAATGCGGCTTTTCACTCGAATGAACTCTGTAATGTTTATTCAAACAGCTGACATCTGCGAATTGTTTATTGCAGACATCGCATACTGGTTTGTCACCTGTATGCGACATGTAATGATCTTTCAAAGAATCAGGGTCAGGAAATAATTCATTGCATATATTGCACATATGTGGTTTCTCCCCTGCATGGATGAGGTAATGACGTTTAAGGTTTGTTCTTTGCGTGAAGCTCCTATTACATATATTACAGACATAAGGCTTCTCCCCACTGTGGGTAATTAAGTGGTTTTTTAAGGTTTTAAGGTGAGTAAAACTTTTATTGCAAACATCACATGTGTGTCGCCGCTCCCCTGTATGAGAAATGTAATGATCCCGAAAGCTATTGCGAGATTTGAAGCCTTTACCACAAATATCGCAGACGATCAGCTTATCAGGAAAATGTACAACCTGGTGCTCGTTTAAATCCGCTTCATTCAGAAAACTTTGGTTACAAATTTCGCAGCAGGGTGGTTTGCCACCGTTGTGGATTTGACAGTGTTCTTCTAGCTCGTCATAATGCTCGAATTCTTGAAAGCAAACGATGCAGATACAGGGTTCATAATCGTCGTATTCTTGTAAAACACTGTCGTTGCTTTCATCCATATTTACAGACATAGTTGGGTGCTTGTTAGTTTGATTGCAAAACAAAACAAGTAGTGAAAAAGAAAATAGATGAAAGAAATTACACTACACGACTACAAAAGCAGCCAGACCTTTAAACACAGCTATCAACACTCCCTCCCATTGGTCGAAATCGTTTCCACGTTTGGAAGTAGATTCCTGAATCCCCCGCTTGGCTGCTTATGTGGAACTTGACACTAATTTACTATTTTTTAAATTCTGAGTATTTAGACTATAATATTCATGATTTATTAAATTTTTTTGAATGGATTGCTTATTTAAGCAATAAAAACTGCTCTAAGCTTTATTTTCAAATATTGCTTCGGGATCAAATTCACTTATAGACGGCGCTTTACAGAATACTTTTACTATGGCAACACTAGACTCGCGAATGAGGACTAAAAAGTGCTGATGACACTAGGCAACCAAGTGGAGGCAACTAGTTAAGAAACCGGTTTTTGGTTTCTCGTTTGTGATCACACGTTACAACCCTCGCTTGTTCAACCAAGTCCAATACCAGAACGGCACTGGTATTGGATTATTACAGTATATAACAGTCTAATACCAGAACTTATATTTTTCAATAAAGTTTATTGCTAAAAGCTCTTTTAATTATCATGGAAGCGATTATTGACGATGTACTTGAAGTAGGCGTTGAGCTGATAGCTGAGGTTCTGAAAGAAGAACTAGAACAGAAAAAAGGTGATTTAAAAGCAAAATAATTTCTTTCGTTTGCTTTCAAAATTTCATTAGTACTCGGAAATATCTGTCAAAGAAATATCTATCAAAATCTGTCAAAATGAGTTTAAAAAGCTTAGCGTTCAAGCTATATAATTTTGAATTTTCAAATATTTAAACATTTGTAATTAGTAATATGCTAGTTTTTTTTTCATTCACTTTTAAAATTCAATAATAATTTGTAACTTTTAATATCTCCACAGAGGAAATTAGTTTATAGGGAATTAGTTTATTCGCATAATCTTTGTTATTTATGTCCCAAAGACAAGGATACGTTTGAAAAATTTCAACAAAAAAAAATACATATATCACTAGAATTCCATTTAAAACTAGTCATAGTTAGAAGATTAAACCAAGTTTAAATTTAAAAGATAAAAATTCAGGATGCGTCAGAATCAGCACGTGTATTTTGTTTACTAAATGGTTGCTAGTTAAGGTTGAAAGTATTTGGAAACTACTATATGACACGTTTCAACTAATCTGGTTGCTCCACTAAAGTTGAAAGGTTTTAACTTCAGTTGCTAGTTGAAAGCAGGTTGAAAGCAACCGGGCAACCATCATATGACACGTTTCAACTTCACCGAAACCGCTAGTTGCTTTCAACTAGCGATAACTTTCGACTTTAAAACTGATAAAAAAATTTCAAGTTTGGAAACTGTATCGAACTTTATTACTGCATTCACCAAAAGTGGTTTAGTAGATTCCAAAAGAGAATGTATCACGAGGAGCAAGTCACCATAGTCATTTTGAAGAGATATTTTTTATAATATTTTGAATATTTTTTTACAATTTATAGCTGCCAAAATAACTTAACGGATATCTTTAGTTAATTAAGCAGAATATTTTTTTATCATATGGGATGAATATTTTAAAAATCTTCTCGATTGGGGGATATTTCGCAAAAAATTATTTTTCGATTTGAGTCTACATGATTTAAAATTTTAAACATAAATACGTTAACCTAATTTTATTTCCTTTTCTGATGACTTTGAGTTACAATAGGGTATAAAATACAAATGTAACATTTAAACATTTTTAATTTCAAATTTTATTTCTTGTTCTGAACGTCAATAAATTTTAATTTTATTCCCTTTCCGGTTGCTTATAAGAATTTAATACCATACCATGCAATAAATCGTTTGTCCAGAATAGACTAAATCCAGAACCTATACCCAGGGCCGGATTTAAGCTTGGCGGGGCCCTAAGCTACTGAAAATGATGGGGCCCTTTTAAGTTCAATTCTATTTCTATACACCTAAAGTAAACTGTCGTATTTTTTATTGCTGAATTATATTATTAAAAATTTGATAATATTGCTTGATTGTTAAATATATTGGTTGTGATGGGACTATAATGTAGAGCCTTTCTATTATTGCACATATTTTTTGAACGAGGAAAAAAACAGAAACTCATTTTAAGAACATCATAAGCACATTTTAAGCATCGCGTAAAGATTTGGCATGTTAGAAGAACCATTATATGTTTAACAGAGTTTTTTTTACAGAGTTTTTTTTTTCTTGAAATTCTGAATATATGTTATTTGGAATTTTAAATGAATTTTTTTTTTTTCCCTTTTCTTTCATTTTTTTTTTTTTAACGTTACATTTCGCTTTGCTGCTCTATGACTTAGGAACATGAAATTATGAAAGTGTGTCAAAAATAAGCAAGGAGTTAGAAAGAACATAAGAAAATACAGTTTGATTATTAGTTTTATTTTTTTTGTAACCGCCGTTGAACAACCGACTTAATTTTGAGTTTACGACTACAAATGTTTAACTCCGTATAATATTGAATAATAATCTTATAATTTTGAACTCAATCCAGAAGACAAAAGAACTGAATCAGTACCCAGAGGTATTGATTTGCTGTGAGAACTTAGAGGACTTTGTGACCACGGCAGATTTAACATGCACCAGTCACCATTTTATACATGGGTATTCTTCGGCCTGCTGGATTCGAAATCCCATTCTCACGAACACGAGTTCAACACCCTACCAACCAGACTATAACGGCCAAATTATTAGTTTATTTTACAATAGTCATTGAACAGTCAACCCAATTTCGAGTTTACGACTACTAATGTTCAACTTATTAGACTTCTAATTTTAAACTCAATTCAGAACACAACTCCAGGATCAAGCATTGGCAGAAATTTTTGTCTTGAAGGGGGACGTTTTGATGGAACTGACCAGCATTTAAGTTAGATTATGAGGAAAACCACAAAAGCTTTCCACTGTCAGTCTGACAACTAGGGGACTCTAACCTATGATCCGTCTACCACTGAGGATATTTTACTTCAGTACAGTGGCTGGTGTAAGCCGACTGTAGAATTCGTATCGACCAGTCAACACTGGGATTCGAACTCAGTACCCTTGAGTCCATCTTCACTGGGTAATAACTCTGCAGGAGGTACCAATTTTATTGATTTGCCAAATTTTAGTCATCTTCAAAATGTAAATAGAAATTCAATCGTAATTTTGGTAGAATAAAAACATGGAAATAAACCGTTTTTCCTCTCAATC